TAGGGTTTTAGGGTTTAGGGTTTAGGGTTCAGGGTTTAGGGTTTAGGGTTTAGGGTTTTAGGGTTTTAGGGTTTTAAGGTTTGGGGTGAGTTCTCAAGTGATGATCTCGTTGTGGGTGCCCTAAATTGAAAGGGGCCGCCTTACAATTGCTCAAGCCAACGTTCGGGCTTAGGGTTAGGGTGGAGGGCTTGGTATGTCAGGCCGATGTCGGCTTTATAAACCTTAGGGTTCTAGGCATGGTTGTCAGGCCATGAGGGTTTGATTTCGTGGTTTGTAGGGTTTAGGGTTAGGATTTAGGGTTTAGGGTTTAGGGTTTAGGGGTTAAGGGTTTAGAGTTGGGAGGGTCCCCCTTACTCTAAACCCTTAACACCTAATCCCTATCCAGGACTGTTAGTATTAGGGGAAACATCCCAACTCTACTCCCAAATCCCAAACCCTCAACCCTAAACCTTCAGACCTAAACCCTAAACCCTAAACCCTAAACCCTAAACCCTAAACCCTAAACCCTAAACCCTAAACCCTAAACCCTAAACCCTAAACCTAACCCTAAACCCTAAACCCTAAACCCTAAACCCTAAACCCTAAACCCTAAACCCTAAACCCTAAACCCTAAACCCTAAACCCTAAACCCTAAACCCTAAACCCTAAACCCTAAACCCTAAACCCTAAACCCTACCTAGCCTCCTTTTTCGCGGTCCTCCACTTAGGATGGTCGAGGAGGGCGGCGGCCGCGTCGTGGAGTTCTATGCAGAGACCACGGGCTTCCGAAGGCGAGGGTTTAGGGTTTAGGGTTTAGGGTTTAGGGTTTAGGGTTTAGGGTTTAGGGTTGGAGGTTGAGAGGTGTTTAGGTTTTGGGTTTAGGTTGGTTGGTTAGGGCTCAGGGCTGCTTTGGGCTGTACAGTTTCGGACTGTTTCAAGCAACAAGGGGAGGGGGGCGGGCCAATGCACGGTACATTTATAGGGTGTATAGGCTTAGGGTTTAGGGTTCAGGGTTCAGGGTTCAGGGTTTAGGGTTTAGGGTTTAGGGTTTAGCGGGTTCAAAGGTTCGGTCCTTTTTTTGGTGGGTTGGGTCGTATGGAGCTTAGGTGCTTCGGGCGTGGAGGTTTTGGGAGACTTCTTTGGCGGCTTAAGGCACGAGAGTTTCAAAACAAGAGGGTTGAGAGGGCCTGTAGGGTTTAGGGTGTAGGGTTCCCTTGGCTCACTGATGCCGAAGGGGGGAGTGGGGGGTGTGAAGATGGTGATTGCTATAAGGATCCATTCCCAAACCCTAAACCCTAAACCCTAAACCCTAAACCCTAAACCCTAAACCCTAAACCCTAAACCCTAAACCCTAAACCCTAAACCCTAAACCCTAAACCCTAAACCCTAAACCCTAAACCCTAAACCCTAAACCCTAAACCCTAACCCTAAAGCCTCTGAAGTCTGAAGTCTCCCCAAGAAAGCCATTACATGGAAGCTCGTGGGTCCCACATTCAAAAACAGGGTTTAGGGTTTAGGTTTTAGGGTTAAGGGTTTTAGGGTTTCAGGGTTTTAGGGTTTAGGGTGAAAGAGCCAATCAACTTTATAGACCATCCTTTAAACCCTGAACCCTTGAGCCCTTAACACCTTCAAACCCTTTCACCCTTCCGCCCTTGAATCGAGGCGCAGACCTAAGAACCCCGAAAGCCTAAACCCCCAAAACCCTCCCCTATACCCCCTAAACCCTAAACCCCTACATCACTGGAGCCCTAAACCCTAAATCCTAAACCCTAGCCCCAAACCCTAGACCCCTAAACCTCCTAAACCCTAACCCCCCACATCACTGGAACCCCTAAAAGTCCCGGCACTTTCCACCCCAACTCCCGAGTACAGGGGCTCCAAGAGCCTCGGGGTTAAGGCCTCAGGATTCAGGGTTTAGGGTTTAGGGTTTAGGGTTTAGCGTTTAGGGTTCAGGATGGTTGGTTTAGGGTTGGGAATCTGGGGTTTAGGGTTTGAGGTAGAGTTCCAAGTTTGAGTTGCTTCCGTGGGTTATCCCCTCTCGGAAAAATGCACACTAAACCCTAAACCCTAAACCCTAAACCCTAAACCCTAAACCCTAAACCCTAAACCCTAAACCCTAAACCCTAAACCCTAAACCCTAAACCCTAAACCCTAAACCCTAAACCCTAAACCCTAAACCCTAAACCCTAAACCCTAAACCCTAAACCCTACCTCCCTCTACCTCCCTCTCCGCCCCTAACCTCCATACCCTAATCCGATTTCAATCAAAACCAACCCGTATAGCCTACCGCAACCTAAGCTTTTCCTTTGTTAAATTCCTAAGCCCCACAACCTAAACCCTAAAAACCCTAAAAGCCCTAAAAGCCCTAAAAGCCCTAGCCCTAGACCCTAAACCCGAAAGCCTGTCCTACATTTCACAGGATATATCGGTTACTCTGCGGTAGACCATGATCCCCTCGCCAAAGCCGCAGGGAATCCATATGGCTCCCGCCACGCAAGTTGCGATTCCGAGGCCAGGGTTTGGGGTTTAGGGCTTTTTTTTGGGGGGGGGGGGGGGGGGGTTTGGGTTTAGGGATTTAGGCTCTAGGTTTTTTTTTTCCGGGATTTCGGGATTAGGGATTTAGAGTTTAGGGTCTTGGGTTTTGGGTTTGGGGTTTGGGTCCTAGGATTTGGGGTTTGGAGTTTAGGGTTTAGGGTTTTGGGGTTCAGGGTTTGGGGTTTGGAGTTCAGGGTTTGGGGTGTTTTTTTTAAGTGTTTGGGGTTTGGGTCTTAGGATTATTGGCGGTTTGGGGTTTAGGGTCTGGGTTTTAGGGCATAGGGCATACGGTTTAGGGTTTAGGGTACACGGTCTAGAACTTAGGGTATAGGGCTCTCGGTTTAGAGTATAATTATCGTTTTGGGTTGGGGCTTTTGGTTTCATGCCCTGCTAAACCTCTACCTAAACCGTTGTTGGGCCTACTGTCCCAAACCACGGCGCCCCTAAACCCAAGCCCTTTTTGGGTCTAGCGTTTCGGGGCACATGCTGTCGAGCTGCTGGGACGATAAGCCCTAAACCCTAAACCCTAAACCCTAAACCCTAAACCCTAAACCCTAAACCCTAAACCCTAAACCCTGAGCCCTAAATGATGGCCTGTCGGAGCGCGAAGACGTTTTACGCCGCGAAGTCGACTTTGCCAAGATCATGTGGGGTTTAGGGTTTTAGGGTTTTAGGGTTTTGGGGTTTTAGGGTTTAGGGTTTAGGGTTTTAGGGTTTTAGGGTTTAGGGTTTAGGGTTTAGGGTTTAGGGTTTAGGGTTTAGGGTTTAGGGTTTAGGGTTTAGTTAAGGCCTGTCCGGCCAGGGGGCAAAGACAAATTGCAACGCGAAGAGGGGGGCACGAGTGCTTCAGGCGCCCGTCGCAGACGATGTTTGCCCTAAACCCTAAACCCTAAACCCTAAACCCTAAACCCTAAACCCTAAACCCTAAACAAGGAGCAGAAGTAAACTCTCCACGCCAGCTTTGTCGAGACAGAGGCTTCAAGCGGGCCATCCGAGGCAGCATAATGTAGGTGTCGGAAGAATTGCTAGTATTATTCCCTTAGGGTCCCTTTATGATTATGCTACAATAACCCCCAAAACTCTGTTCTACTTATGAAGGGCCCCTATATCAGGGTTTAGGAGTTTGAGTTAATTACCAAGCCAGAGTCTTACGTGCTTGTGTGGGCTTTGGAGATTATATTCTTGGTAGGCCCAGTGGTATTAGGGTTTAGGGTTTTAGGGTTTTAGGGTTCTAGGGTTTTAGGGTTTTAGGGTTTTAGGGTTTTAGGGTTTTACTCTTTTCCCTTCTTCTGGTTCACGGCCCCCTTATGCAGAAGTCAACCCCAAAACGGGTACCCATATTAAAACGCTGGGCTACCAAGTATTGCAGAACATTTTTACAAAGACCGAAGCCGTAAAATTGGATTGGGTAAGATGCAGGCTTTCAGTAAACCCTAAATCCCAAGCCCCAAGCCCCAAACCCCAAACCCTAAACCCCAAAAAACCCATAAACCCTAAACCCTGCCCCTAACCCTAAACCGGCGGGTTGGGGTTAAGCCGGCAGGCAAAGTCTACGGCGAGATCCTGTCTGGAGGCTCCGCGGCCACGGTGTCGATCCGTGAGACACTCGTCGTTAGGGTTTAGGGTTTAGGGTTTAGGGTTTAGGGTTTAGGGTTTAGGGTTCAGGGTTCAGGGTTTAGGGTTTCGGGGTTAGGGTTTAGAATTAAGGCTTTGGGGTTTAGGGTTTAGGAGTCTGCAAAACTAGGTAGGCCCTTGGGACATTTTGTGTTCCGCTTATTGGGTTCAAGGGGGCTATATTTACGAGTATATTTTCACAGGGTTTTTTTCGGGCCATCCTAGTTATCTACCCAGACTCGGCCCCAGACACCAGGAGCGCGCCCTCCAGAAGCCTGAACCCTAACGACCGAGTATGGGGCAAATTTTGTCGACGCAGAGCCGATACGGGTTCTAGGACCCGGAGTAGGCCCTTGTATCCGTTTTGTAGGGTTGGGGTTCTGCTATAGTCCCCTGAACACCAAGAGGGCACCCTTTTTTATTCCTAGGTTACTCCTGGGTCTGGGTTTATCCTAAAGTGCTACTGTCAGGCTCCTGTCAGTCTCTGTATGTAGGAGTTCTTAGTCCTCGAAAATCGATCTGGGCCAAGCAAGCATGTTGTGCAACATTCAATCAACACAGGGTTTTGTCAGCCGCTCATGTCTTCAGTTTGGGCTAGCTAAGAACGGCATCAAGCCGTGCCGTATATACTGTGCGGCTAATGCGGCAGCCCTGGCACACAATCCATAAGCTTAAACCCTAAACCCTACACCCTACACCCCAAGCCCTAAACCCTGAACGTAACATTCACCCCCCGAGGGCCCCAGAGACCACAGACCCCAACCGCCGGCGCGATCAGTGTTTCAACATCGTGGACCTTGCGACAGGATTCCAGCAGCTTGAGTTGTTAAGGGAAGTAACAAAGGGTAGCCAAGGACCTCCCCCGTCTGAAATGTGCCTCGAAGCGTTCCAGAGGTGGTTGACTTGGGCGGGCCTCCCGCACACCGTGATGCTAGACAGAGGTACTCATAACAGAGGAGCCTTTGTGAACTATCTCACGGAGAAGTGGGTGAACATCAGGTTCGCCGCAACCGAGTCGCCCCACATGCTCGGTAAAACCGAGAGGCACGGAGGGCTCGCGAAGGCAGTCATCCGAAAGGCCGTGGCAGGCGTGAACACCGTTGGACCTGAGGCAATGCGAAGTGTGATTCAAGAAGTCATTGCAGTCAAAAATATGACTATGAACGTGTCAGGTTTCTCGCCTAATTAGTCAGTGGGTGTTGGGCCGCAATCCGAGGGAACCAGGCACGCTCACCGGTAGGTAGGTGGGTGGGGTGGGTGGGTGGAGACCCTAAACCCTAGGGCTCTAAGGTGGGAAAGGTCAAGGTTGTTTGGGGGGCTGGAGTGTAGGGTTTAGGGTTCAGGGTTTAGGGTTTAAGCTTTGTGGTTTTGGGTGCGTCTTAGTAGCTGAATGAGTACACTTTACATGTTGGGATACTATAATCCCCTAAAGGTGGGGTCGGTTTCGGCAGGTTTTGCCGGAAAGTGTCTTTTTAATGGCGGGGGGGGGGCACGTTTAATGCAAGGGAGATGTGATTACACTGTTTGGGGGCTTTGAACTCAGCAACGCAGGCCTTGCAAGCGGGCCATAGCTTTGAAAGATTGAAGCCTTCAGGGCTTAGGGCTAAGGAGGTTTTGGCTTTGAGAAAGTTTGATTCAAGTTTGAAGCCTGAATCAAGTCAAGAAGTTTAGGCCTGAAGCTTGGAATCATATAGGTTGGGACGGCCACAGCTTCGGGAAGATTACGCATCTTTTTCGAGCCACATGACTAACCAAAGCCACACATGACCTGAAGAACCCTAAACCTACCTTTTGATGAACATGTGTAGGCGATCTTTACGATGCCGGTATTGTGGGGGCTTATTGTTTAGCCTACTCGTTAGCCCACAGAACACAACTGGATTTGGGGCACACAAACCCTAGTCCCTCCCCGCCCCCCCCCCCCCCCCCCCCCCCCCCCCCCCCCCCCCCCCCCCCCCCCCCCCCCGCCCTCCCCCCCGCCGCCCCCAGCCCCCCTTAGGCAACCAAGGGCCGCCCCTTCCTCTCGTGCCAACCGAGGAACTTGCTGCTTTTCGGCATTGCCGTGGGCATCGTGCTTGCGCCTCTCGTCTAAACCTTAAGCCCGGAAAACCCCCAAGCTTGGCAAGTTTTGGGGTTTGGGGTTTGGGGTTTGGGGTTTGGGGTTTGGGGTTTAGGGTTTAGGGTTTAGGGTATAGGGTTTAGGGTTTAGGGTTTAGGGTTTAGGGTTTAGGGTTGAAAAAACAAATGCAACCAAATTTCAACTAACAAAACTGGCAGCCAACTAGGCACAAACAAGGTAGCCCCAGTTTTGCTCGCCTCAGCACGAAGAAGGTACAACGTGAAGCAACGCGCAAGATCAAGAGAATGGGAGAACCGTAAGTACAAGGGTACTTGGACCCTTCTTGGCGTGTGTCCGAGTACCCTAAAACCCTTAACCCGAAAGCCCTAGACCCTAACCCTAAACCCTGAACCCAAAAGCCCTACACCCTAAACCCTAAACCCTACAAACCCTGAAGCCCTAAACCTAAAAACCCTAGAAACCCTAAAGCCCTAAACCCAAAACTCTAAAAGAACCCTGAAGCCCTAAACCCTAAACCCTAAACCCTAAACCCTAAACCCTAAACCCTAAACCCTAAACCCTAAACCCTAAACCCTAAACCCTAAACCCTAAACCCTAAACCCTAAACCCTAAACAGCCAAAGCTCACCAGGTTCATCCTCGGCCCAGTGTCGCTGCTAGCCCTGGTCTTCTTCTCCTTGCGGGAGGCGGTTTGGGGTTTTTAGATTTCGGGGTTTAGGGTTTAGGGTTTAGGGTTTAGGGTTTAGGGTTTAGGGTTTGGGGTTTTGGGTTTAGGGTTTAGGGTTCAGTGTTTAGGGTTTAGGGTTGGGAGTCAGAAAAGCCATCCCAGGCCTCAACCCGATAATCCCTCGTTCAGTCCTCGTCCCTTAGCCCTACTCCCTAAAAGACCCCCCCAAACTCCCTACAGACCCCAAACCCTAATCCCTAAACCCTAGCCCTCAACCCTATAGCCATAAACCCTAGACCTTCTGAACCCTAAACGCGAGGGATCAATCGGGGAATTGCTGGATCTCCCCAAGGACGCAAGCGGAGGGGAGAACGGAGGGATCGTTTCCATGGGGCGAAGCGCATGCCACTCTGGCTCTCACTTTGACTCTCACTCGCACTCTCGCACTCGCTTTCACTCTCCCTCTATTCATAGCTATTATGTGCTTAAGAAGCCCCCGCCCCAAAAATGAAAAGTAAAACAATCACCCCCCCATATTAAACCCTTATAGGGAAGAATAGTATCGATTCTTGGGAGGGTTCTTAAGCGAACAGAACAGATAGTGAAGCAGGTCTCGATCTCTGTCGGCAATTGGTCCTGCGAGCGCTTGGCCGAGGAGGCGTGCCGGGAACCAAGAGACGCTGCCGTCGTTAGTGTGGTGTAGGGTTGAGAGTTTACCCTAAACCCTAAACCCTAAACCCTAAACCCTAAACCCTAAACCCCAAACCCTAAACCCTAAACCCTAAACCCTAAAGTTTAGGGTTTAGGGCGAAGGCGAGGGTTTAGCCAAGAGAGTTGAAGGTTGATCAGGACCCAGAGTAGGCCCTGTATTCGGAGGGGTTTAACTTCCCCCTTTATCTACTAATTGCTGAAGAACCCCCCGGCAAAAAATATGAAATATAAATAAATATTCTTCCTTGTTAATTAAGGGAAACATAGGGATTATTGTTATTATCTTAATTCTTTTGGGGTTCTTAGAAGCAAAATAGTAGTTCTAAGCCCCTGTAAGCCATTTCATCACCTAGGGTACCTTAGTAGTAGAGTAGGTAACCTTTAACCTTTTTGGGGTAATATATTCCCCTTATAATCCCAAAGGTTAACCTTTAAAACCCCTAGGTACTGGACAACTAAGGTACTCTTTTGGCCTAGGAGAGCTCTGGGTTGAATGCTACACCGGCTCTGGGTCCAGAGGCTTAGGGTTTCGGTGCCAAGTGCCCCTAAACCCGAAACCCTAAACCCTAAACCCTAAACCCTAAACCCTAAACCCTAAACCCTAAACCCTAAACCCTAAACCCTAAACCCTAAACCCTAAACCCTAAACCCCTCCCCACCCATGAAGCTACACTGGAGCCCTCCTTGTTTAGACAAGACCGGGGCTTTCAGAAACAAGGTTTGGCGTAAGCAAGGTGTTGTGTTCCGTAAGTAGGGGGTTTGGGGTTTAGGGTTTATAGGGTTTATAGGGTTTAGGGTTTTTGGGGCAACGCTACTGCCGTGAGCGTCGTCAGCAAGCTTGGACAAAGCAACTTGTCGCCAGGCCTCTATAAACCCGACTCCCGCACACCCTCGACGTTTGAAGCAAAACTCATGTGAACCTGTCGATGGGCCTGTTTGACTCCCCCGACGCTGGTAGTGAAAACTGTTGGACACCCCGACCCCAAAAATCCGATCAACCCTAAACCCTAACATAAAACCCTATTAACTCCACAAACCCTAATGAAAAACCCTAAAAACCCTACAAACCCTTAAAACCCTAAAAACCCTAAACCCCTATGCGGCCTAGAATAATTCTGGCATGCTCTCTTGGCCATCAGACCTTAACCCGAAGGCTCCAAGAAGTGAGATGAGCAAGAAAGCCGAAAACCTAAACCCCAAAAGCCTCCACGTGAAAGAAACAAGGCCCGTACAGGTTTGAGGTTTATAGCGTCTAGGAAAGTTTTGACCCCAAGCCCCTAAAACCCAAAGTGTACAAGAAAACAGACCTTAGGGTTTGGGGTTGGGGTTTAGGGTTCAGGGCATAGGGTTTGGGGTCTACCGCTCCGCCGGAGGACCCAGACACCGTTCCCCTGGCGCCTGCGACATTGAAGGCCGATCTGTTGTTGGCACACTGGAGGTTCCATGCGGACCCATAAACCTTAAACCCCGAACCCCAAACCCCAAACCCTAAACCCTACACCCTGAACCTTCAACCTTAAACCCTGAGGTCTTTTTCTTTGTGGTACTTTACTGTAACTTTAGATCCTTACCTTTTTTGGGTTTATTGGGCTTCTTCTTAAGGCAGCTAAAAGTTTAATTTATAGCTACCCTCCTGAGTGCAGCCAAGTTTTGTGGGGCTCATGGAACACGTGTTTTTTTTTGTATTGCGGGGCTAGAACCCTGCCGCCTGAGGCCCGCTAGACCTAAACCCCCAAACCTTCAAGGCCCTAACACCTTAGTCCTCTTAAACCGGTTTATATAGGGTTTAGGGTTAGGGTTTAGGTAAAACCCGCCCGAAATATACGAGACTAACCCTAAACCCTAAACCCTAAACCCTAAACCCTAAACCCTAAACCCTAAACCCTAAACCCTAAACCCTAAACCCTAAACCGACAGGTTGACGAGCCTTCGAAATGGTTGTGAGCCAGCATCCGCTCGCTTCGAGTGCCCCGGCAGTGGCAAGTCATGGGTTTAGGGTTTAGGGTTTAGGGTTTAGGGTTTAGGGTTTAGGGTTAGGGTTTAGGGGTTAGGGTTGCGGTGAGGCCCTTCACGCCCGGTCCTAGCTGACTAGAACGTGTACTTCTAGGGTTGCTTTAGATATGTTTATAGAAGACAATCTGAGTGGGGCGCCTCCCTAAATCCTCAACCCTAAATCCTCAACCAAGCAGTTATTGCTTGCCCCTTGTGTGCTGACATGAAGGGCCAGCTTCATGAGGCTTGTGAGGTGGAACACCCATATACTTCACAAGGAATCTGGTAAGGGTAGACAGGGTTTAGGGAACCCTAAACCCTAAACCCTAAACCCTACACCCTGAACCCTAAACCCTAAACCCCTCACCTTACTAAGTCAAGAGAGCTTCCAAGTCGGGGTGAATGTGACACTTGGCACCTCGACGGCTCTCATGAGATGCAAGGGTTTAGAGTTTGAGGTTTAGGGTTTAGGGTTTAGGGGTTTGGGGGTTTAGGGGTTTAGGGTTTAGGGTTTAGGGTTTAGGGGTTAGGGGTTAGGGCAACCCTTAACCCTGTCCGATCCCTTTTTCTGGCTAAGTACATGGCCTGCCCCCCTGAAGGACCCTGCCTAAACCTGCTGAAGTCTAGACCGCAAATCCTGAACCCTGAGCTTCAAACCCTAAACCCCGAATCCTGAACCCTATACCCTAAACCCCAAATCCTGCCCTGAACCCCAAACCCTAAACCTAAATTCATTCGTTTCCCTACTCTATACTACCCCCCCCCCCCCCCCCCCCCCCGGGTTCCTTTTTAGGCGTAATCTTCCATAAATCGCCTTGCTTCTGGGGGAAGCCTTGGCGGGCAGTAAAGAGAAGGGGAACCCATGATGAATCCTAAACCCCAAGCCCTAAATCCCAACCCTAAACCCCAAATCCGAAATCCCAAACCCCAAACCCCAAACCCCAAACCCTAAACCCTAAACCCTAAACCCTAAATCCCAAACCCTAAGCCCCTGCGCAGTCTTAGGTGCACGGGCTGCCAGCTCTTCTGTGCTCTCGCACGTGCGCGATGCGCAAAATGACATCGATTGCCTCACTGGTGCTTATAAGGGTTAGGGTTTAGGGTTTAGGGTTTAGGGTTTAGGGTTTAGGGTTTAGGGTTTAGGGTTTAGGGTTTAGGGTCAGGGCTCTAGAAAACCACCTAAACATAAGGATCCTACTATGAGGGTATATGGGCCCCTCTGAGGGGGGATGCCGGAAAAGCCTGTTTGTAGGATCCTTATGTTTATGTGGTTCTCTGGGCCCCTCGGTGGTTTTGCCCGTGGAGGTTTAGGGTTTTGGAGGGTTGGGGAATATAAGGGGTGTAGAGGGGTTTAGGGTTTAGGGTTTAGGGTTTAGGGGGGAGTATACCCCCCCCCCCCCCCCCCCCCCCAAACCCTACACCCCAAACCCCAAACCCCCCCCGCAGGATGGTTTGGAGTTCGGGGCCATGCGCCTGGAGCTTGCCGGAGCATGCTCGGGCTCCCAGGGTTCAGGGTTCAGGGTTCAGGGTTCAGGGTTTAGGGTTTAGGGTTTAGGGTTTAGGGAACTTGGTAGCCCAGCGGTACCCTTTTCCCTTTTTTGTTGGTAACCAACCCCGAAAAGGGCGCCCTTATCATGATAAGATTGCTGGGCTACTGAGAGAGGCGTTAGAGATTAAGGCTTACTTGGAGGTAGGGTTTAGGGCTTAGGGTGTAGGGTTTAGGGTACAGAGTAACCCAACTATAGCTGCCCCGATAGCACAGTTATTGCAGCCATATTGAGGTCCTAAAGGGGCTTCTGAGTGGTTGATAACAACAGCAAATGGTTTATAAGTGCCCTGAACCTCCAAATAGCGTTTCGGGGGCCTTTAAGGTTTGGGTTCCAAAAAGTTGAGGGGTAGAGGTTCATGAAGTGGCTTAGGGATGCAGGTTTTGGGGTTTAGGGGTTTGAGGTCTGGGCTTAGTGTCCTGGGGCTCAGGGCTTGGGTGTACGGTTTAGGGCTTAGGGCTTAGGGCGAGCGGGGCTTGTGGGTGTAGGGCCCTAAACCCTAAACCCGCGACATTGCAGACTGGAACTCTGGGGTCCATGTCTGAGGGCTTTTCAAGGACTTCTCGGCTTGTAACCCCGTACCGTCTCGACGACATGTGGCGACTCTGGCTCTCCTCTTCTCCTGCAGAAGGCAGGCCAGTGGAAAAATTGCGGACTGCATGCACATTTGCGGCAGCTATCTTCCTTACCACATCGGCATCACAAAGTTCCGGAGAAGTACGCGGTCACCGTCGATGCGCTTGACAGAGTGCGATCTCTGACTGGGATTGTCCTCGCACAGAAGAGGGCACCGCCAGCTTATTCTGACTGGGATTTCTGGTCTGGAGCGAGGGTACACACCGGTGCCCGCTTCAGACTACCCTATACCCTAAACCCTAGACCCAAAACCCTAAACCCTGACCCTGTCAAGGTTTGGAGCTTTGCAACCCTTGATTAGGGTTTCGGGTTTAGGGTTAAGGGTTTAGAACCCTAAACCCTAAACCCTTGAAGGCTCTTTGTCATCCTTCAGCCGATGTGCGTGTCAGTTCAGGGTTCAGGGTTTGTGGGGGCTTTAGGGTCTTTAGGGGCTTTAGGGGCTTTAGGGGCTTATGGCTTATAGGCTTTTGGGTTTAGACGTTCGCCTCCTTTCCGTGTCTCTGCCTTCTGAGGTCGATTGCTGTCAAGCTTTCTTGTATAATCTGCCTCGTCTCCCCGCCTGCCTCGATGGTCCTGCACATATCCGTTTTGGGTTTTGGGTTCGGGGTTTAGAGTTTGCGGTTTAGGGTTTAGGGTTTCGGGTTTAGGGTTTAGGGGATTTATGGGGTTTTTTGGGTTTAGGGTTTAGGGGATTTATGGGGTTTTTGGGGTTTAGGCTTTAGGATTTAGAGCTTAGGCTTTGAGGCTCAGGGTCGGGGTTTGGAGAGCAAAGGTTGGAACGTCCCAGAACTTGCCACGGGCTCGTCGAATCTTCTCTCCACCTTCAAGGACACGGCGCTCACGTAGGGCATGCGGGGTGTCGCCCTAGACCCCAAACCCTACACCCTAAACCATAAACCCAAAACCCTAAACCCTAAACCCTGAACCCTGAACCCTGACCCTAAACCCGAATTAGGACTTAAAGTGTTCAGGCCTTGGGGCTTACAGTGTCTGACTTGTTATTTTTGAAGAGTCTTCATGGCCTGTGGGCTTGTAGGTATCATGGCAAGTAGGTTTTAGGGTTGAGCGTCAATACAAAACTTCAAGGGACTAACGGATGGACCCCTACAAGGGACCTTAGCGGTTTTTAGGGGGTTATTTGGGGGCTGCTCAGTTATACAGGGACTATATAAGGTGTATATACATATACATACGTATATACATATATATATATATATATATTTATATATATATGTATATATATAAGGGTTAATTTAGGGGAAGAATATTAAGGGTCCCTTCGACTGCAGGGGTCCCTCCTCATGCCCTTTAAGAACTGGATGGCGACAGTGGTCGCTGTGGTAACACCGGGCGAGGAGACGAAGCTCGTTTCGCCGATGAGCTTGAGAACCCCAAAACCTACTTTGTGTAGTTCCCCTAAACCCTAAACCCTAAACCCTATACCCTAAACCCTATATACCCTTCATTGCTAGAAAACCCCCCGCACGCCGCCCTCAGAAGTGGGGAAGGGTGCTTGAGAGGCCCTGTATTCCAAGAAAAGCCCCGGATTCTGAGGTAACTTACCAAAAAACTTATGCTTGGGATGCTCAAAAAGGCACAGTATTGCCCTCAAGATCTCTTGCAAGAACATGCGGTGTGTGGGGTATATAAGGGATCCCCAGATTCAGGGACCCTGTAACTACCCGAAGGGTTACGATCTGCTTCAGGGGAAGTACCCAACCCTGTACCCTAAGCCTAAGCCCTCGGGTTTAGGGTTTGGGGGGTTTAGGGGGTTCAGGGTTTAGGGTTTAGGGTTTAGGGTTTAGGGTTCAACGCATCTGGGTGCTCAAGATCGAGAACAATCAGAAAAAAAGTGGAAAGCAGAGTGGGCACCCAGCCGGGTTCTTGCGAGGATTGAGGTGTGTGGGGCAGCAGAGAGCTGTTCATCCCGAAATGCGTGCTTAGGGGTTTCAGAGGCATTAAAACATAACCCTAAACCCTAAACCCTAAACCCTAAACCCTAAACCCTAAACCCTAAACCCTAAACCCTAAACCCTAAACCCTAAACCCTAAACCCTAAACCCTAAACCCTTCCGAAGCCAGTGTAAGCAGCGGAGAGGACCTCCTTCTTTATGAAAGCGAGCTGATGATGCTTGGGGCGCGGCCCTCAGAAACTGGGTTTCAAGACCCCCTGAAGCATCAGCCCGCTATATCGGTTTCAGGGTTTCAGGGTTTCGGTTTTGGGGTGTAGGGTTTAGGGTTTAGGGTTTAGGAGGGTTTAGGGTTTAGGGTTTAGGGTGTAGGGTTTAGGGTTTAGGGTTTAGGGTTTAGGGTTTAGGAGGGCTTAGGGCCACTTTTCAAGGTGATGGTACTATTTCTGGGACTCTAAATATGAGGGGGCCTCCTTGGAAGAGGCCAGAATTCACAGAAGTTGTGCGAGAGGGTTTTTTGGCAGTTGTAAGGCAGAACCCCCGAAACCCTATAAACCCTCAACCCTAAACCCCAAGCCCTAAACCCTGCACCCTAAGCCCTAAACCCCAAACCCTCAACCCTAAACCCCAAACCCAAGGCAAGGGCGCCAACATCCCTAAATTTGGGGTTCCGAGGTCCTTAAACCCAAAGCCGTTATGTGGCGTCATTTGCCCTAAACCCTGAACCCTAAACCGTAAACCCTAAACCCTAAACCCTACACCCTATATCCTAAACCCTAAACCCGAAACCCTAAACCCTAAACCCTAAACCCTAAGGGTTCTTTAGGGTTGTTTGCGTTTTTTTGAGAGCTATTAAGGG